GGCAAACCAACCGGCCCCCACCCGTGCACCAGGCCTGTATCCTATATAATAAAAGGGTAATATGCAAATTGACCCTAACAGCAGAACAACTGGGAATGACTGTTCACTATGACACACACTGACCACCAGGGGGCAGATGCTCAATGCAGGAGCTGTCCCCTGGTGGTCAGTGGGCTCCCACAGGGGGAGCTCTGCTCAGCCACAAGCCAGGCTGATGGCTGCCAGCACAGCGGTGGTGGTGGGAGCCTCTCCCACCTCCTCAGCAGCACTAAGGATGTCCGACTGCAGCTTAGGTCTGCTCCCTTCTGGTAATTGGACATCCCCCAAGGGCTGCCAGGCTGCTAGAGGGATGTCTGACTGCCAGCTTGGGCCTGATACCCCAGGGAGCGGGCCTAAGCCAGCAGGTGGACATCCTCCAAGGGGTCCCAGACTGCAAGAGAGCATAGGCCAGGCTGAGGGACCCCCCACAAGTGCACAAATTTTTGTGCACCGGGCCTCTAGTCTTAACTATATTTAGCTAAGATAACCTATCTTAATGTATTACAATCCCCCCAAATATTTATATTTTTTAAAAAGTAAATGTAATGTAATTTTATACTTAAAAGTAAGATTTTTTTTCAGATGTGATGGTTGCCCTGAAATTATACCCTGTGATGCACATCAATTCATGAAAGTTACTGTGATAGAGTCTCCAGAACAGGGGTTTCCCCTCATCTTCTTCCTTCTGCCAAATGAAATGACACCCACCCTTAAAGACACAGTTCATGTTTCATCACCTCCAAAGACATATTTGACTTGACTAGTTCTCATTTCTCTTCCTCTTCTCTGAAATTCGCACTACCTTTAACAGCCTCTGACAGACAATTTAACACTTAATTATATGCTGTCTGCTAATGCTTCATGTGTGTTAAGACCCTAAAGGACATGTGTCTTGTGTTTCTCTGAAAACCCCCATGACCTCTAGAGTACTGAGTTCTTAATACATATCTGTTGTATAATTGATTGACTTTTGTGTTAGAGCTTAGGGTAATTACCCAAATGCACTGCACCTCAACTGACAATGGGTCCACCTGCTCAGTATTACAGAAAGGGGGCCGTGAGATTACAATGAGCTGGTAGGAAAAAATGTGTCTGTGTGTATGTGAGTGCATGCCCCCATTACTATCTATAATAATAAAAGCATAATATGCTAATTAAACTGGATGTCCTTCCAGACGAAGCCTATGGTGGCGGGGGCCAAGCACCTTGCATGAATTTTGTTCATCCAGCCTCTAGTGCAGTGGTTCTCAACCTTCTAGCCCTTTAAATACAGCTCCTCATGTTGTGACCCAAAATAAAAGTATTTTTGTTGCTACTTCATAACTGTAATGTTGCTACTGTTTTGAATCGTAATGTAAATATCTGATATGCAAGATGGTCTTAGGCGACCCCTGTGAAAGGGTCGTTCGACCGCCAAAGGGGTCGCGACCCACAGGTTGAGAACCGCAGCTCCAGTGAATAATAAGTAACAAAATATTTAGCTGAAGATTATTACTGATATTGAAAGTGTGTGCAAGCTTGTGTGTGTGTGCGCGCACATTTGGAACATGCACAGATTGAATGAGTGGCCATTTATGTGCTATAATTTGAAAGGCACTTCTTGGATGCTATGAAAATACCTACCCATCTTACTTGGCTTAAAATTTCATCATTAGAATCAAATACTTTGAACAAGAAAGCAAGGATGTCTCTCTCCAAAAGTCCATAAAAATGCATGTTATTTTGAAGCCATCCTTAGCTGTCTCTGTTAGGTGGTAAGATTATCACCTTAGTGTCCTAGGCCTATAAGTAAAAAAAGTAAGGCTAGAAAGATTGAAATGAAGAAAGTGGCTTCAAAATTGAATTCTGCTTTCTTACAGACTATTTAAAACCCACTCAATAAGGTAAAACATGGCAGAAGGCAAAAAGAAGGGGCGCTTCTCAGTGCCAAGAAAGAACTCTGCATCCTTGGCATTCCCTTACCCCAGAAACTGATGCTACTATACCTCTGAAAAACCCCTACGTGGCCCTAGCTGGTTTGGCTCAGTGGACAGAGAGTTGGACTGCAAACCAAAGGGTCCCAGGTTCTATTCTGGTCAAGGACACATAACTTGGTTGCAGGCTCCTCCCCGGTCCATGGCCTGGTTGGGGCTCATGCAGGAGGCAACCAATCGATGTGTTTCTCTCACATTAATGATTCTCTCTGTCTTTCTCTCTCTCTTCCACTTTCCCTAAAAATCAATGGAAAAATATCCTCAGGTGAGAATTAACAAAAACAACAACAACCAAAAACCCTAGGTGGATAGGAGCAGAGTTTGAACACTGCAGCTCCAGGCCAACCCTCTCACTTCACAGGTTAATAACTTATTCTCTAATTGTACATGTCAGGATGTAAGTTAAAAGATACATCAGTAGTAGACTCTAGCTCCTTTTAATCTCAGTCAAATGTTTTTCCCACTGTGTTCTTGCTTCCTGAGAGCACACGCAACTTCCCTTATATCCAGACTATAAGAGTGCAGAAATACAGGTATCTACAATTGCCCTCTCCATTTCTCACTAGAACCATGCCCAACTTTTGAGAGGCAGGATTGACTGGAAATTAGCAGAGCGAGCAGTGGCTCTATATCATGACCATGGGTTCAAATTCTGACTATCCCCTTTTCCAGCTGTGTGATCTTGAGCAAGTTACTTAAATTTCATGGTTTGGGGGTTTCCCAACTATATATGGGAACAACAGTAACTACCTCACAGATTTATTGGAAAGATAAAATTATAAATCCATGCAAAGCACTTAGAACAATAAACTGGCATTATAGTTAATACTAAGCATTTACAATTTCTGCTATCTTTAATCATAGATATAAAGGAAATGAGTATCATGGATAAGTGAACTTCAAAAATCCTAAAATTGCCCTGGTGGGCAATGTCTGTTTGCATGAGTATTGAGTACTGAGTCCCAAGCATTGAGCTCTGAGCACAAATTTTTAAATATTAAGCAATGTAAGTCTCTGCTCATGACTTTTATTTCAAAAGCATGGGACTAGGGAGGAATAAGTGAACAGATATACAAAAAAAGATGCCTTATATACTAAAATCTGGCCAACTCTGGTCTGCATCCCAATTTAAAAACTCGGTCTATATCATGGAAAGTTTCAGAAAAGCCTACAAAAGTTTAGTACTTTCTGCAGGTCTTTAAACTAAGGATTGGAATGTCAATCTGTCCCCAAACAGGTCTTCTTCTATAATTAACAAAAACAACAACAACCAAAAACCCTAGGTGGATAGGAGCAGAGTTTGAACACTGCAGCTCCAGGCCAACCCTCTCACTTCACAGGTTAATAACTTATTCTCTAATTGTACATGTCAGGATGTAAGTTAAAAGATACATCAGTAGTAGACTCTAGCTCCTTTTAATCTCAGTCAAATGTTTTTCCCACTGTGTTCTTGCTTCCTGAGAGCACACGCAACTTCCCTTATATCCAGACTATAAGAGTGCAGAAATACAGGTATCTACAATTGCCCTCTCCATTTCTCACTAGAACCATGCCCAACTTTTGAGAGGCAGGATTGACTGGAAATTAGCAGAGCGAGCAGTGGCTCTATATCATGACCATGGGTTCAAATTCTGACTATCCCCTTTTCCAGCTGTGTGATCTTGAGCAAGTTACTTAAATTTCATGGTTTGGGGGTTTCCCAACTATATATGGGAACAACAGTAACTACCTCACAGATTTATTGGAAAGATAAAATTATAAATCCATGCAAAGCACTTAGAACAATAAACTGGCATTATAGTTAATACTAAGCATTTACAATTCCTGCTATCTTTAATCATAGATATAAAGGAAATGAGTATGATGGATAAGTGAACTTCAAAAATCCTAAAATTGCCCTGGTGGGCAATGTCTGTTTGCATGAGTATTGAGTACATCCATCATTGGTGGGTGCAGTACCATCCTTGGATAGTGAGCAAGAGGAGCAGTGAGTACCCTGAGGGTGTGCGATTTATTTATTTTTCTATGTGAAGATGTCAAGTGGCAGCAGAGGGTGGACCCAGCTGGAATAGAAAGTCAGAAGGGCACGCTTCAGAAAAGCCTACAAAAGTTTAGTACTTTCTGCAGGCCTTTAAACTGAGGATTGGACAATCTGTGCCAAAACAGGTACTTCTTCTTCTATTTTGTAATTTCTAAACAATGAAAATTATATTAGTAACAATATAAATTCTGTGGTCCAAGGGTCTAAATGCCAAAAGAATTCCATATTAAAATTGGTGGAAGCAAAGAAGTATTGAGTACATCCATCATTGGTGGGTGCAGTACCATCCTTGGATAGTGAGCAAGAGGAGCAGTGAGTACCCTGAGGGTGTGCAATTTATTTATTTTTCTATGTGAAGGTGTCAAGTGGCATTAGAGGGTGGACTCAGCTGGAATAGAAAGTCAGAAGGGCACGTCCCTAACAGAGAAACAGTGAGTGAGCAGTGCATGAAAGGGTCAGCAGTACAGGCTCAAAAGTAGCCAACGTAAGGGGTGAGGGCTGAGAGCTCCCAGATGCTGGTGTACTCTGTATATCTTGATGGTTTATAGGTTCATTCATGTGTTTACATTCCAAAGCTACTGTGGATTTCATTTTTAGCTTTTGACAAAATCATTCAAAACAAAGTGGCATGAATGTCAGGAAATCTTATAGACATTCTAAACACTTAAAATTAATAAATACCATTGTAAGACAAGCTTGTAGTTTTTTGAGATCTCACCTTTTAATTCAAAACTAAAAGAAAGTTCTTTAAAAATACTGTTTTAGGAAACAAAACAGCATAATTTTCAGGGCATAGATCATTTCAGCCTCTACAACCTACAAGTTTGAAGAATCAATAACACAAGATTGAAGTTCTGGAGCTATCTTTAGATCTTTCTCCAAGAAATTGAGAGGCATTTTCTGAGCTTCAGACCACAAGCCTCTCACTACTATTGATGGACATGGTTTCTCCTTTTCAGGGTTATAATAGATTCATAAGTAGAGAATAGAATGAGATTCAATAGTTATGTCAGATACTATACTGTATAACTGTGAATTATATACATTTATCTAATTATTAATTAGTTCAATAAATGTGTTTAATTGTTACTTTGAACCAGGCACTTTTCTAGCTGCTGGTAATACAGCAAAAGAAACTAAAAGGCATGACCCTGTTTTCACAAAGCATCTACACTAATAAAAGAGAAACATGGTAATTGGCGTACGACCGCTACCCTTCCCATTGGCTAATCAGGGAGATATGTAAATTAACTGACAGCCAAGATGGCGGCCGGCAGCCAGGCAGCTTAAAGCGAACATGAGGCTTGCTTCCTTCATTGAAGGAGAAAGCCAACGTTCCCCGCCTGCTGCTGCCAGCCTCTGAGCTGGCAGTTTGAAACTTTGTAACACTTTCAGCC